CGGTTGAGTCTGTTTTTCAAAACCCTCGCCTGCTTTAATAGGTGGGGCCTCAAACCCAGAAAGCTCCCTACCCACCGGGGGGGGCTGGGGATTTCGGGGAGTTGAAGTCCACATATCTTAAAGTGGCCAAGGTTGAGAAACACTGGTCTAAACAGTTTTAGAGTCCCTTTATCAGACCCTAATATTATACCACAAACATTTCAAGAATTTCACGTTTGCTTCTGCTGGAGAGCAGATGTCCTCCTGAAGCCACATCTGCTGACCGCTTACCCACACACAACCCTCCCAATCAACCTCTGATTTACCTCTGTGCCTCTGCTGTGGGGTAGCGGTAAGGTCCCTGTGGCCCATATGGAGGCGGGAACGGGAGATATGGGGGATACATCTACAATTGGATAGAGAAGGAATTTGTTACTGGAGAACTCCTCCCCTGCCCACCCGAGATTTCTAACGAAGAAAAAAGGGCTCATCTTCTTCCACAATATACTTACAAATGGCGGCATCATCCCCCGGTAGGGAGGGAATTGAGGCGGGACGCTGGGCTGCATGCTGACACCAGCTCGTCCATCCTCTGGCACCAGCTCCCCGTCAGTGCCCCGCCCACCTCCATCCCGCCAACTGGTTGCGTCTGCAAGAGATTTATCGGAGGAGGGAAATAAACGGGAAGAATGGGAAAAGCCTCCCGAATGAAATTCCAATGAATGGAATGGTTTACAGAGGAAGATGCTCCTTTGCCCCAGACCCCAGAAGCAACAGTCACTCACTTTGGGGGCGGAGGTTTGGTCCGGGCCCATACGACGCATCGGTAGTGTCCTTTTCTTTGCCAGCTTTGTCCTGGTCGCCAGCCGCCTGCAGGGTCGGAAATTCCTCGCGAGAGAATCGCGACAGTAGGCTTGATCCCTTTCCACCTTGACATCAGAGAAAGACAACAGAGACTGTCTTGCAAGATTGCTCCATCTCACAAAAAATTGTTGTGCTTTACTCGCATGAGTTGGGATACAACTTACCATCTCCTTGTGCTCCATGGGTAACGCTGGCCTGTGCCCAGGACTTTACCCCGCTTGCTACCGTAGGGGGATTCTGAAAGAAGGGGACAGGATGAGAAACATTAACTAAAAAAATCTTGATGGCTTCCAATTATCCAGGGGTCTCAAGAATATAGGTAACCAGAGATCCCAGAGTCTAGGCCAATCTTCCCTAAAGTGTCAGTTCAGTGATGGACGTCAACTGCCATATTGCTAGCCAGCATGGGATTTTGAGAGTTCAGGATTAATTGGTTGGGAAAGGGTGAGGTAGAAGATCATACCCATTCCTTCAAGACAATAAACTTTCTAATATCATGGTTAAATAGAAAACTGATGGGCTAAAAAAGGTCTAGAAAGCAGAAGAGTGAAGGTTAGAATTGTTCAGGAGTTATTACACAAGCATTCTTTCCCCTTGCAATGGTTACTGAAAAACTCATATATGTGAGCATTGTTTAGACACAACACTAAACTACATTCACTTTAACAAGAATACGATTCAGGCTTATGCACAACTCCTCATTCTCTGGGGCAACTGCACACACAGATCAGAAGCTTTTGTTTAACAAACCATAGCCATTCAGACATAACCAGGCACCTAATGTTTTTTGCTTGTACGACGTGCAAACACGCTCATTATTGCCCCACCCTACACATGAATCAGGCTGTTATGGTTTGTCTGCATCACTATCATCTCCCGTATAAGTTGCTGTAACGTGCTCTACGTAGGGCTACCTCTGAAACGTACTCAGCAGCTGCATTTGGGACAAAATGGTGCAGCTCATCTTTTGGCAGGCGGAGTCGCTACATGCACGTTAAGCGGGGCTACAGGCTCTGCACTGGTTGCCAACAGGCTTCTAGGTCCAATCCAAAGTGTTGATTTTGATTTCCTAGTCCTACATGGCTTGTGTACATGCCCTGCAGGAGATTCGGGGGTCAGAGAGAGAAAGAGGCTGTGGTACCAATCCCACTGGACGGTGCCTTTGCTTTTGACCTTCTGGACAGCTGATATGACACAGCTTGTTCAAACAGCTTTGAGGGGTTACGTTTGATCACTGGGTGCAAAGTAACAACAACAGTAATAATGTTGTTTGGGTTATTAATTTAACATTAATCCTTTATCTGATGACCCCCACAACAGAAACAGTACTGACCTTCTGCTTTGTGATACCTTTCAGGTATTTGAAACGTGCTATCCAGGCACCCTTTTCACTTGTCTTCTCAAAGCAAAACATTGTCTTTAAACACCTCTCTTCATAGGAATGATAATCTTTGCTGCCCTTTTCTGAAACTGTTCCAGTTTATCTAAATTAAGTGGTGCCCAGAATTGAACAATATGTTCAAAGTGGGGTCCATATAGAATGAAGTAAATCGATTCTTTTCCATGATTTAAAAAAATACTATTCTACTGATGCAAATTAAAGCTGGATTTGCCCCTTTTTTTCAGCTACATCATACTGCTGGCTCATTCAGTTTGTGAACTATTATTCATAAATATTACAGCCATCTCACTTCCATACCTGTTATTTGCTTTGTTTCCTTAGTGAAGAACTTTGCATTTGTGTTAAAAATCATCCTGCTATTTTCAGCCAATTTTTAAGCTATCAAAATCATTCTGAATTTTATTTTTGACTTATAGAATACATGCTATTCCACCATATCTTATGCCATTTACAAATACAATATCCATTCCCTCTATCTAATGGAATGCTTTGCTAAAATCAAAATATTTTACATTTATACTATCCCTACAATGTATTACAAAAGTTCATTATCAAAAACTAAGATGTGTCTAGCAAGGTTTGCTCATGACAAATCATACTTCCAGAAGTTACTACATTTTTCTTAAGGGGTGATGTTGGCATGATCTGCTCCAGAATCTTCACAAGCGCCAACATTACACTGACTGGTCCATAGCTCCCGAGGTACTCTTTTTGAAGATGGGAACAGTGGCTCTTTTCTAGTTACGGAGCATGTCTCTAACACAGTGTTTCCCAACCTTGGCAACTTTAAGATGGGTGGACTTCAACTCCCAGAATTCCCCAGCTGGCAAACATTGCTCTAACGTATCTCAGAGATAATACACACAGTGCTGGCTACTTCTTTCAATATCCTAGGATGCAATTCACTGATCCTGGAGATTTTAATCTGTTTAAAGAAGAGTATTCCTGAACATGTTTCTATATGCCTTCTTGTGTTTTTGAGGGTTTTCTTGTTTGTTTGTTTCCAGTTTTTCACTAAGCTTTTTTAATGTAGTCATACTGGCTTCTTCTGTTGTCCTCCATTTTTCCCTTACTGGTATTGTTTGCGATTGGCTTTTTAACACCTCTTTTTCTAGAAACTCTCACTCATGCTCTCTCTCAGATAGCAATACAGCAATCTTCCCCAATATGCTGGTGTGACTGGGAAAGTGGAAAGAAACTTCCCAGAAGTTAGTGGCAACCATTTTTGTATCATTGCCAAGCAATTACATGGACTTGTTCATATAGTCACCAGAAGCCAAGGTTGTTTGAAAGGACCCTTTATCTTTATCCACCTTGAGCTTCTTTTCCCACACAGAACCACACAATCCCACTTACCATTGCTCTGAATGTATTAAAATTCACTTTTCTGAAATCCAATATACATTTTTGAATACTTGGTTTTAGTTTCACTTAAAATCAAGAACTTCAGCTTTAGTCTCTTCCCCCAGTGTCCCTTCTACTGCTTTTCCTTGACTGTCTTCTTGAAATAATGTTAAACCATTATTTATTTTAAATAAGTTTACACAGGAAGATGCAGCAGTATGACTCAAGGACAATGCTAAGCCATCAGCCATATATTACAATTCACAACATATGGGTAAACATACTATACTATACCAAGCCAAGCCAAGCCAAGCCAAGCCAAGCCAAGCCAAGCCACACTTAATGTTGTCAACATTGTGATTAATATGGTTAGAAAATAAGCAAGTTGAAACTGCTATGATCATAGTTTCTCTCAGCCTTTCTAGCCTCAAGACCCACTTAAATGAGCCGAAAATAACTGATGTCTATTAACAACTGAAAACAGTGCTAGCACCCCCAAATCAAAAATCACCCTTTCATAAAATCCCAAAGTTAAGTGGTTTATTCTGCCTAGTACACCGAAGTCTAAGTACAATGGTTTTATTCTAGAATGAACCTACATAGGAACCAACCTGTACCATCGGGACTGAGGTAAGAACAGCTTGCCATGCTTAGCTGCTCTTTTGTTATCAGAGCAGGGTGCAATAAAAAAAGTCCTACTGAAATATGGCCACCTTCTATAAATCTCCAATGCAAAAAGACTGTGGAAGGAAATGCAAAGCCTACATCGTGTACACTCTGTGGTTCCTCTTAAAGGAATAGATGCATTTGGGAGATGCTGTCAAGTCTAACTGGATCTTCTATCTGCTGGTTTGGAGGAGATATCTTGTTCTGCAGGGTTCCAATGGTCAATAAGAAAATGCAAATCTACTGATCAACTTTTTCTACCACTGACATCTTTTTCCACCTTTGCTCCTGCTGGTTTATTGGGAGTTCTACATACTTTGCAAAAGCTGGAATAACTTTTAGCGATGCCCTTTACATTCAAAGCCCCCAGAATCTTTTAAGCTTTTGGCAGGTACAACAGAAGAGAAGGCACCTCTGGAGGGGGAAAAATGAAGTAAAAAATCCCTTATCTTTCTTGCAATTGCACCACGAACAACGGGAGAAATGATCTCTAAGCTCACACGTCTGATGCCAATGAATTGTTCAATAGCCCTGCGTAGGGATGTGGAGACTCAATGACTGAGGAATAGCATGCTCAGAAGAACCCCAGAACATTTTGTTGCCCCTCTGGGCTATACAGTACTGTGCAGCTTCCCAAAGTGTATCTTCTAAACCGGAAGCAGCTTGAGGTGTGCTTGGTGTCGCATTCTGGAGGAAACAAACCTGTTATGCAGCTGGATCAGCAGTTCCTTCCAGTTCAGAGGATTTACTTCCAGAAACTGCCAAACCACCCCCAGAACAGCATGGTTTGGAGGAGATCACGTAGGCCAGAGGGGGAAATGAATGTTGGAGAAATCCTGTTTTCCAGAATGTTAGGTTCCTAAACCAGTCAATTTGGTACATTCCTGGTATTGCATTCTTTCTCAAGTCAGTTATAGCACAGCCAGATTTTTTATAGAAAAGACATGTCTCCTACCTAAGTCTTCTATAAGCCCAGGATGGCTGGCTGAGGTGAGAGCTGTAGCCCCATGCTCCCAAGGGCACGCCAAAATTATCACCAAGGCAGAATGTAGAAGTATACGCCTGCCAAAACTTACACTCAGTCTTTAGGGAGGCAGAAGTTGCAGGAACTGCTTTTAATCCAGTCTTGGCCAAGTCTTTTTTTCTGACAAATAACTGCCTCCCAGGGAAGGAAGAGGAGAGTGACTGCATGATGGACCACTGAATGACAAAAAGAGTCATTCATGATGTACCAAGGAGGGACAGACTGAGGAATAATTGGTAAGAAAAAAGAGGCTAGACCAAGAAATCCTAGATCTATTTTTGCCAGATGTAGGCTACAACTAGTTACACACAACTGTCCAGAGGAAAAGGGGGCAGTCTGTCTGGGCATTTCCAGTCCCCCATTCTTGCCCCAGATTTACCTCGGGGGCTGTTGGGGGTCGTTTCGGCTGGTTTGAGGCAGACGTCTGTGAAGCCGGCGGTGACTGCGATTCCGGCGGCTGAGCTGTCGAGGCATCGGTACTAGAGGCAAAAAAGGCCCATAAATGAAAAGTTAAACAGTGTAAGCTTGAAAATGTGCACAGACACCCCAATAGCATCCGTTCTGCCCTACCTCTTTGGGTCTGGCTGTTCCTGCTTGCTTGCCCATCCTGTCCCGTCTTTCGGCACTAGTGAGACGTTGGGGTCATTGCCTTTGTTCTCTGCTTTTAAGCTTGGCAGATTTGCAGGGGGTGGCATGCGTCGGGCAATGGCAACCTTACCGAGACTCTGCAAGCCATGGCGGGGGGTTACTGCAGGAAACAGGATTTCAAAGGTTAAATACAGTCCTGAGACCCCTTTGAGCTACTGACTTTATGGATTCACACCAATTGTCAACTGGTTTCTTGTCAATCCCCAGTTAACAGGTGAAGGGAAAGGACAACTGCTCAGGGCGCTGCGAGTACCATCAGAGGATCAGAGATAGAGCACGTTCATCATGGCAACTGCCTTCTCCTTTGAGAACAGGACTTGGAAGGACCACCCGGATACACATTGGCCATTTTACCTGTGGGTTTCTGGATCTCTAAGGACTTGCCCTTGTACGTATCAAACAGGTTGAGCGACGAATACTTTTTTCCATCCTTCCCCTTTGCTGTTTGCCCCAAACGATCTGACATTGCGCTGTAAGGTCATTGAGTACGATGGTTCCTCCTGGCTCCCTGCGAAACGTGCCTATGTTGGATGAGGAAGGGGGAGACTAAGAGGAAGAAAATGCAGCAATGTTGGTTTCATCTTTTCCCATCAATCAGTAGCTATTAAATTTAGTAGCCAGTTAACATAGACAGCGCCAGTTTTAGGCTACAGCCAAGTTGGCACTGGCCTAGGGTGCCAAACTTAAGGGGCACCAACGTTGCCTTTCCTTCTGAATCATTCTAAAATGCGGATCTTCACATCGATGGGACATGGCAATCAGTCATCGTGGCTCAGGGGTGCCACATACCCTTGAATTGACACTGGACACAAGGCTTTTCCTTAGACAACACTAAGGAAACACTAGTCATGAAGAGATGTCCAATTTTTGACATCCGTTTGAGAGAAACATAATTTATTAGTTAATTTACTGAACACATTTATACGGTTGTCCATCTCACTGAATGTGACTCTGGGCAGCGTACAACTAACAATTAAAATAATCTCACAACTATTGAAACACTTTAAAAATAAACAGCAGCAAGATTGCGGGAAAACATCCAATCTAAACGCAATACAACCATCGCGGAGGCTCCCCATGGGATCCCCAAGGTTGCTGGAAGAACCACTTTTTCAGGGCCTTCCAAAAGGCTAACAGGGATGGGGCTAACCTCACCTTGCGGGGGATGATGTTCCAGAGAGTGGGAACTGCAGCAGAAAAGGCACATTGTCTGGGCCCTGTCAGATGGAATTCTTTAGCAGACGAGACCCACAACATACCCCTCCTGCTGGACCTGATGGAACAGGAAGATGTGATCAGGAAGAGGTGGTCCCTCAAACAACCTGGACCCAGGCCATGTAGCGCTTTAAAGGTCAGAACTAGCATCTTGAATTGCACCTGGAAGCAGACCGGCAACCAGTGCAGCTCATGGAACAGAGGTGTGACATGTGCCATCCTAGAGGCACACAGAACTGTCTGCGCACCAGTTGAAGCTTCCAGATACTCTTCAAGAACAGCCCATGTGGAGTGTATTACACAATCCACTCTGGAGGTGACCAGGGCATGAGTGACTGTGAGTAGGTCCAGGAAAGGGTGCAACTGGTGCACAACATAACATTGTGCAAAGACCCTCCTAGCCATGACTGCCACCTGCTCTTTGAGCAGGAATCTTGAGTCTAGAAGGACCCCTAGATTGTGCACTGAGTCTCTCTGGGGTAGTGTCTCCCCTTCTAATACCGAAGATGGTAAAGTACCAGATCCAAAAGGCTGAAAAATCCAGAGCCACTCAGTCTTGCCTGAGTTCAGTTGAAGCCTGTTGTTCCCCATCCAGACCCCCCATAGCCAGGTACCAGGACAAGACAACAACTGCATCGCTTAGTTCTCCAGGGGTAGAGATATATAATTCAGTATCACCAGCACACTGATGATACCTCATCCCATGACAACAAATATCTCACCCAGTGGCTTCACGTAGATGTTAAATAGGAGCGGAGAGAGTACCGAATCCTGCGGCACCCACATAGTAGGGGCTGCAGGCAGGACCTTTCATTCCCAATCAACACTGACTGGTATCGGCCCCATAGAAAGGAAGAGAACCAGCTCAATACTGTGCCACTCACTTCCAACCCATGGAGCCGATCCAGATGGATACCATAGTTGATAGTATTGAAGGCCACCAAGAGGTCAAGGAGAGCAAGGACAGAAGCACTATTGCTGTCCCGCTCTCACCAGAGGTCGTGCAAAAGTGTGACCAATGCAGTTTCCGTCCCACACCCAGGCTTGAATCCTGACTGAAAGGAGTCCAAATAATCCACTTCACCCAGGGTCCACTGAAGCTGCTGAGCAACCACCTTCTCTGCAACCTTCCCTAAGAAAGAGAGATTAGATACTGGGCAAAAATTGTCCAGTATGGTAGGATCTAGTGATGGCTTCTTGAAAAGTGAGGCGGACCAAAGTCTCCTTAAGAGGCACCGGAATGATTCCCTCTCTCAAGGATGAATTAACCACTAGAACCCAACCCAACCACACAACACCCTCCAGGCAGCCTTAACTAGCCAGGGTATGGATTTAAGGAGCAAGTGGCTGAGCTCACAGTCATAAGGACCCTGTACACTTCCTCAGGTCCAACAGGTTCAAACTATTACCAGAAAACTGGAGAAGACTGTGCCCCAGGCATCTCCACCAGACGTGTACCGAAGCTGGTGTCTAATTGGGAACAAATTCGAGCAATTTTGTCTGACAGATGCTTTGCAAATTCTTCTGCACAGCCCTGTAAGAGAACTTCTGAGTCCTCCTTTTCCAGGAGGCCTCAAGTCACCCTAAACAAAGCTATCCACAGAGGCAATAAGGGTGAAGTATTGTCACTTTGTCACCCTTACCACCAGTAGCTAGGCCTTAAAAGTGGCCCTCACCCACGTTTGATCCCTCATTGACATCCAGTGGAAACTCTAGATGTCGCTTCTCCTGTTTCATCTCCCTTAGCTCTTCCGTAAACCACAGAAAGCAACGGGATGCACAAAAGAGGAGAGTCACATGGACGCGATTTGATCCAAAGTCTCAGCCATCCTCTCATTCCAAGTAACAACCAAGGCCTCAGTCGGACAGTGGAGCAGACCATCAGGAATAACCCCCAGTTCTCTCTGGAACCCATCAGGGTAAATTAGTTGCCAGAGGTGGACCTATCTAATATGCTCTGTTTCCCTGCGACAGGGGGCAGTGCCAGAGAATCTCATGGCAACCAGGCATGATCTGACCATGACAGTGGAGTTACAGAGAGCTCCTCCAACTTCAGATCATATTGCCACTGCTCCAACAGGAAAACCAGATCAGGTGTGTGACCACTGTCATGTGTCAGGCCCTGGAAGACCTGGGATAGGTCCATGGCTGTCGTGGTGGCTATGAACTCCTGAGCCACCTCAGACTCTGCTCCCAGAGAAGGCAGACTGAAATCCCCCAGGACCATCAGCCTGGGGAATTCCACTGCCAAACCCGAGACAGAGTCAAGGAGCTCAGGCAGGAAGGTTGCTATGCAGCAGGGACGCTGGTACAGTAGCCAACAGTCCCAAATGATCCCAACTTAAGGAACAGGGTTTCATATCCAGAAACCTATGGAGCAGCACCCCTGAAAGCTGTAAGAGGCTCCCAGGTGACAACTGCCAAACCACTGCCCCTGCCCTGGGGTCCCAGCTGATGCCACACCTAAAATCCAGCTCGGCACATTTCCGAGACGGGAATATCCCCCTCCGGACCCAGCCAGGACTTGGTAATACACACCAGGTCAGCTCTCTCATCTGTGATTAAATCACAGGTGAGGCGGCTTTATTACAGTTTGACCTGGTGTTCAGCAACAGCCGAAAGCCAGGGCCTCTCAATCAACTTATAATCAACTCATATTAAAGCAATTATCTCCATGAAGAAGTGCATCCAGGTTGGAAAAACAAGCAACCAAGAAAGGGGCATGAAAAATGGAGACTGACCAACAACTCTGTCTATAAATGCCTTCTATCAGCTTTACACACTGGTTTCACAATTAAGCAAAACAAATTGTATGTTAATTACTTGTTCCTTTCAGGGTCAAACACTCAAGGAAGTAGGAATGCCATTCAATAATGCGCCCTTACATTTTCAATTGTATCAACTGATAACAAAGAAAAGATACAGGTAGCCCTTGACTTACCACAGCAATTAGGCCAGAATTTTCATCACTAAGTGATGTGGTCATAAAGTGCAACTACATTGCTTAGCGATGGCAATCCCTGCAGTCCCAGGTGTCATCGTTAAGCGAATCCCATGGTCATTAGGTGAGGCAACTTCCTGCTGGCTTCCCACAACCAAGTCAGTGGGGAAGCCAGCAGGAAGTTGCAAATCCCATGTGGTTTGCAAGCAGGCTGGCAAGCAGGTAAGTGGCTGGTGCTAGGTAGGGAGGGTGTGAGGGGATGCACAAGGGAGGCATGACACGGGTGTGAGGGAGGCTGTGGGAGGGTGTGTGAATTGGCTGGCACAAGAAAATAGGGACTGGGGGGAGGGTATGAGGGGAACTTACCCCATCAACTTGCAACTTTCCTTGCTGGCTTCCCCATTGACTTTCTGGGGAAGCCAGCAGGGAAGGTCTCAAATGGTGATCATGTGATCACAGGGCACTGCAACTGGTTGTAAGCGTGAGTCAGTTACCAAGTGCCCAAATTGCGATAATGTGACTGCAGGGGTGCTGGGATGGCTGTAACTCCAAGGACTGGCTGTAACCCCCATTCATTCAGTGCTGTCATAAGTTCAAATGGTGGCAAACAAACGGTTGTAACTCAAGAACAACCTGTAGTTTCTTTGGTATCCCATTCCTTAGGAACTTGGGTGATCACATATAAGCCTGATCAAAGACTCTACTCATGAGAACCTCACTTAAAGAATAAAATAAGCATTGGTATAAAGTATCCATAAGGTTCCAATTAAAAAGACAAGAACTATTTAACCTTCTGAATACTGTTTATATATATTTGAGTTTCACTGTGAACTATAAAGCACTACTCATTGCAGTTCAAGGCTTTATTAATAATTAATAATTTTTCTCTCTTAGCCTACTAAATTGTTGCTTTAAACTCCTAAATAACCCAAAGAGCAAAACTTGAATTAGACATACCTGCCAGGGATGGACAATGTGTAAGAGCTAGGGGTGCAAATCAGCCATCCAGTGATGCTGTGATGTCACTAAGAAGGGTATCACAGATTTCTTCAGCCCATTTTCTGGCTGAGGAGATTAGGGTACAAATGGGAGTCGGCTTACTCCCAGAGACAAACCACTCTACTGTGGCTTTTAACCACTGCCAAACAAACATACAGGCCTAAAAATTATTTTACTACAAAATTTCAGTGGTATCATTGTGGGATGCTGAGTGACTGCACTCAGCCAATGGATTACCCATCCCTTGTTGGAGATTAAAGGAGGCCATTTTCCCAAAACATACATAACCTAATTATTTAGCTATTTTCCTATTTTTCCTCCTGAAGTACACAAATCAGAGGAAATAGATTGAGATCTTTTTGGTGCAGCATTACCATTTTGTCACACATCT